ATAATTTTTTATTAGCTATATCTTAGACTATTGCATTACAGTATTTGTTACATTTTTAAAATAATATTTCCAATTTAGTAAACTTCTCCAAACATTGCAAAACTGAATGATTAATAACTGGAACACACACACACTCACTCTCACTCTCAGAAACATTAGTTTGAAACATGGCTTTAAAACATTTATATGGCATTGAAAGCAACTTTTACTTCATTAACACATTTTTTCTGCACTCGTTGTATAACTTTAGAAATGAATCTCTGAAGTGAAGACACTTTTTTTGTTCAAAATAATGTGTTATTATAATTCATGGCTACAAGTGTTCACTCCTTTTCATTGTACACGTATTTTACACTTTAATTTAATTTTCAAATTTGTTTCCATTTTAATTAAGTCATTGTTTTCGTGTTGTTTTTAATTTAAAACTCTTTGTACCTATAATTTAAAAGTCGAAACAAATTGAAATAATGACTTCAATTTGAGAACTCTTTACGACAATAAGTGTTTTGAAAATAAATTGAAACCCTAATAGTAGTACTATTTTAAAGTTAATTAAACACTCACTCTACAGTATTCTAGAAAATTGAAATTTAAAGAATATTCTAAGAAAATACATTTTAAAATAGATACAGCATGAATGCTATTTTAACTTCCATGATAATCAACTCTAACGTTATTATTTTATAATAAAATATCAGTTTCATATGTATAATCATAAAATAAATAAAAGTATCCAGACCTATATTAAGAATTTATAGGAAATCTAGGTGCATTTTTATAAGCATTTCTATAATTGTTTAATACTCTATAATGCTTATACAGTATTTTGATCTCTATACGTAAAATGTAGAAAATATATAATATCTTATCTCATATTATATTATTACTGAACTTTCAATTATATAATTATTTTATATAATTTCACTAATAAAGTCAATTTAAGGCATATAACATTACTTCTTGTACATTAGTTGTATTGCTATAAATAAATATTTTCCTTCAATATAAATAATTATATTGCAAGATAATTTTAAAAATTATATTTATTTAAAATTACGTTTAAAAATATTGATTACATTAGTAAATATATTATTTATATATTTAATTATATAATTACATAATCGATACAAATTAAATAAAAATTGCAAAATAAAAATTGTTATTATTTTTATAAAACCAGAGAATCTGAAGGTTGTGCAATGGATTTAACATTATTATAGTTATCATAAAATATCCGGTTTTGCGCACAAAATACGGTGATAATTGTGGTCACTATAGCTGTTTTCAAGTTAATTAGGAAATATTTTTAAAAATTAAGTATTTAATTAATGACAGTGTTTTATACAGTATAATTAAAATTTTTATTTGTAATGTTTATGCAAATTAAATGCAAATTAACATTTAGAGGCTTTGAGGTGTTGGGCACTCGACTAATTCAAGGTTTCATTCTAACTGTTAAAAGTTTAGTCATATATTTAATACTTTTATGTTTTACAGGTGTATTATTTAATTGTAGAAATATAACTGACCAAGATCATTGCCACTTTAATGATTGACAATATTTATCCAATAAATTAGAAATATTTTTTCAAATATTAGTTTATTTATGTTATGATTATCAGTGAGTTTGACGAGTGATCAGTGTTATGGAACTACAGTATTGGACAGGTAGTCTAAAATAGAAAATATTTTTATAACAAATAAAACTTGCTAAATTGAGTGTTAGCTCACAGTTTAGTAATTATGTCTCAACTCTATTATATAACAATAATTGTTACAGAAATGAAACCAATTATATGACAAATAATAGGCTATTAATGATATAATAATTGCTTGATTCATGCGATACTTAATTGTAATGATATAAGAAAATAATTATTTGCACTTAAGATTTATAGGTATAAACCCTAACCCCCATAAATAACCCAACTACTCACACATACTCAACATTTATACTGAAATATGCAAAATGTTCTCGGTCATATCGCCTAGTGACATATTCCTTGACAAGTCATATCACACCTTTATGCTGTAATATACGATAAGTAGCGTTAAATAAGTGTTACTAAAGGATTGCTATTAGTGTTAAACATTGATTCAAACAAAATATAGCAAATTATGTTATAATTGGTATACTGTATTTGATTGCAAATTGTATTATAATTAAATTTTTTAAATTTATAACTTTTCAACTTTTGTTTGAATTTACCGTTCAAATAATTATGAGTAAATTGAGAGCACTTTTTATAAAGTGATGACTAATGTTATTCAATAGCAACATATGTGTGGAAAGGAACCAAATATGCGTAACCAAGTCAACTAATACACTACACATCTACAGTAAAATTGACATTTAAATGAATATCAAAAACGAGTTATCTGTACAGTGTTTATGCGTACAGTTAACAGATATACGCGTGCAGTGAGTGTGACTCATAACGTGTAGCAATAGATTTCAAGCCATTTATGAAAAACCAGTTTTCAATCATTTGTTTACAAATTAATTGTATTTTAGTTTCGCTTTAAATTGAATTCAATTGACATTTATTTGCGAATAAATCTCAACACAAATCCACTGAAAACGATGGGTCTCTTCGGCAAAGACCCGACAAAGTCACCCAAAGAACAGGTGAGTGAATGACACACCAGTGATGACCACTCGTGAGATAATGTGATTGATTTGATTGTGGATTAACGCTGTGTTTGTATGGCATGGATGTGGTGTGGGATGGGATGACGGGTTCAGGTGCGGGAGTGGACATCGAAGCTCCGGAAGCAGCAGTTCCTTCTGGACCGACAGATCCGCGCCATTCAGAGGGAGGAGGAGAAGGTCAAGATGGAGCTGAAGAAGGCGGCCAAAAGGGGCGACAAAGACGTGTGTCTCGTGTTGGCCAAAGAGATGGTCAACTCCAGGAAAGCCGTATGTCTTCGCCAGTGGATCACTCATGAGTTGGACACTGGTTTTGTGACCACTTTGTGTGTCATATGGGATCAGATGTTGTCTAAACTTATCGTTTCATTGATTCACTATTTTATGAATCATTAGTTTTGAGTTATTTTTTGTGTAAATATTTAGTGATTCAATGATTTCGTGATTTATTAGTCATTTGTTGTCAACTATAATAATATTTGCATTGAATATAACGACTAATGTGTGGCTAATGTCTGTGCATTGGGGAACAGGTCCGTCGCATCCATACATCGAAAGCACAGCTAAACTCAGTGATGATGAATATGTCTCAACAGTTGTCGACACTAAGAGTGGCGAACGCTATGGAGAAGTCGGCGTCTGTCATGAAGTCGATGCAGTCGTTGGTGAAGGTCCAGGAGATCTCACACGTCATGCAAGACATGTCCCGAGAGATGATGAAAGCGGGGATCATAGAG